GAGAATAGGAACTCAGGCAAGTGGCTCAGATGCCTCCCAACTTCCACGCATCCATCAGTGAGGTCCACCCAATACCACCGGTCTTACCCTCCACTGAACTCCTCTGCCATCCCTACTGGTCTCCTCCCTGTGGGTCTCCGCTTACCAACCAGAAAAATCATTCTATAATCAAAGTCAGATCACACCAGGTGAGGTGGTGCATTCCGGTAGTCCCAGTGACTCAGGAGGCTGAGGCAGGAGGATTGCAAGTACAAGGTAAGCCCCAGTAACTTAGTGAGACCCTGTCTCAAAATAAAAAGGGCTGGAGAAGTAGCTCAGTGGTAAAGTGCCCCTGGATTCAATCTCCAGGACCAGAAAGAAAGAAGAAGAAAGTCAGATGATCACATTTACCCCTCAATTCAGAACACTTTGGTGGCTCATTTTACTCAGGGAAAGTCAAAATTCCTCAAATGGCCTTCAGCCCTTTCAGTGGGTGCTGCTCCATCTCACCCCCCTTAGTCACATCTCTGCTCTCACTCCTATTACCCTGCCATCCCCGATTCTCCACTCTGGTTACAAGCCCTATGAGCAGCCAGCAGACCCACCCTGGGTCCTTGCACCTGCTGTGCCCCTGGCTAGGTGACCATGTGGCTTCAGAAAGATATATATTTTAATTTTTAAACTTATTTTTATGCAGTGCTGAGGATCAAACCCAGTGCCTCGCGCATGCTAGGCAAGTGCTCTACCACGGAGCCCCAGCACCAGATATATCTTTATAACCTCAACACCTCGCAGAGTGCCTGGCGGACAGCTGGCGCTCCGTGTGAACTGAAGTATCTGGGCTATCTGGGCTGCACACAAGCCACACTTAGTCCTCCTCGGCCACCTCTTTGCATGTGCTCTCTCTGGATTGTCAAAGTGTGCAGCACTCTGCCCCACATCAGGAAAACTCCTCTTTTGTCCAATGTCCCCAATTTGAGGCAGACTGACATCTCTTTCCTGACCCTGGCAGGTGGCATTCAGGGACACCTTCATTTTTCTGTTAACTCCCCTGTTCAACAAGCCAGTGGCCATGGTGCTGGTGAAAGCCCTGCAGCCCAGGTCTTTGCTCTTGAGGAGATAGGCGACAGTAAGCAAGAAAACCCACAAGACAACTGATGGGTGGCCAGTGATATAGAAGGAGGCAGTGACCTGAGACAGCAGCCAGACAGTGGAGGATTGGCGTGGCTTTGCTGAAAGGTGATGATAAAGCAGAAATCCTAAGAAGGGATCAGCCCATGTGAAAGATGGAAGAAGAGCGTCCCAGACAGAGGGAACAGGAAGTTCAAGATGTCACAGAGGAATGAGCTTGATGTGTTTAAGGCACAGAGGGTGACCATGCGTCTGAGCAGGATGGACTCAGTGGGGTTTTGTGTTCGGGGTGAGGATGGGGGCACAAGAGGGTAGAAGCCAGGTTAGGATGGCGGGCAAGGGCCAAATCATAAGGGCAGTCCCTGGGGGAATTCAAGCAGTCAAGTGCATTATTTGGTATGAGCGCCCCCTAGCTGTGATGTGGAGAAGGACGGGAACAGGTAAAGGTGAAAGCAGAGACCAGGTAGGAAGCTGGGGCCTTCTAGAGAAAGAGGGTTAGCGATGGTGGAGGTGGGAGAAGCTGGTGGCTCTGGAGGTCAAACTGGGAGGTCAGAGAAGCACAGGAGCCCTACATGATGGACTTAAACAACAGGTGAATGGTAGCAGCTCCTGAGAGGGGGAGGTACAGGGAGCAATCAGGCTCATGGCAGGGAGGAGCACAGGTGACTGTGGGACCACGCTCGCTGCCTTCCAGTTTTCTAGGGCACATTCCCTCTCCTCCATGAGGCTGCAAACTGCCTCCTCAGTTGAGTCCACCCTGTCTGACCCTTGCTTCAGAGGCTCTATGCTTGAGCAGGGCATGGTGGGAGCGTCTGTGGTCCCAGCACTCATGGGGCCAAGGTGGGAAGATAAGCAATGACTCTAGGAAGCTTCATTACAGAGCAGGGCAGAGCCCTACACATGCACTCAATTCTATACTTCCCCAGGACTCTGGGCAGTTACCCCCTCTGAACCTCAGGTTTCATTTACAAAATGGGAACCCCCCCACACACCATGTGATATCACTCAGAGTAGCAAGTGAGGAAACATGTAAAGTTCCTAGCACATAGTAGATGCTTATTAAATCATAACGGCTAGCACCTTGGGAGAGCTTCCTAGGAAGCAGGCAATGTTCTAGGCATACTTATGGATATTAATGGAGCTGGCCTTCACTATTACCAAGAGGTGAAATTTACCTAGTGTTCTTCAAAGAAACTGAACCAATATCATGGGGACATAGAGAAAAAGAGATTTATTTTAGGTATGGAGTGTTGGTGAATTTGAACACTGAAGGTGGGGTTTGGTAGGTAGGAACCTGAAAAAGAGCTTCAGCAGAGTTCAAATGTAAGTTGCTTGGCAGAACTCCTTGCTGGGGGTGGGAGTAGGGTGTCTTTGTTCTAGTAAGATCTTCAACTGATTGGATAAGACCCACCCACATTAGGGAGGGTAATCTGCTTTACTCAAAATCCACTGATTTAAACGTTAATCTCACCCAGAGACATACTCACAGGATATATCCAGCCTCACAGAACATTGAAAATAAAGCTTGACCAAATATCTGGGGACAATGGTCCATTCAAGTTAGCATGAAAACCACACACACACACACACACACACACACACACACACACACAGTTAACCATCAAGAGGTAGGCATAACTGTTATCCTAATTTACAATTAAGAAAACAGGTACAGGAGGGTAAGAAATCTGCACAAGGTCACAGACAAAAGCAGTCAGACTCTCCTGCTTGGCTCCAGCACTGGCACTTTCTACCACGACACTAAGTGGCCATTATCATAAGCATACCAAATGTAAATTAAATTTCTCCATCCATCCTTTTCCTGGCCTGAAGGCAGAAGGCACAGAAACTGGAGGAGGATTTTCCTGGGGGAGGCAGCTTGGGTGGGGCCCTGGATTGCTTAGGAAGCCACTCAAAAGCTAAGCTGTAGGAGCCTGGGGTGTGGAGTAGGGACAGAGGACCTAGCTTTTTCAGGGGGAAACAGGTTCAGAGTGGAAAATGGATTTGTCTAAGATGACAGTTGAGCCAGGAGTAGGTCCCAGGGCTTCAGAAGGTGATGATGACAATGAGGGTGTCTACCTGGTAACTTAGGTAGTTAGTTATGTGCTAGGGACTACTCCTCAGTCCCCCTCCCAGGGCTGAGAATTGAACACAGGGCCTCACACAGGCTAAGCTAACACTCTGCCGGGGAGCTAAATCCACAAACCCTTTGCTAGGGGTTATTTCACATTAACTTCTTTAATATTTTGCATGTGACATGTATTCTATTATCATCTTTGTTTTAAAGAGAATGAGGAAACTTCAGCACAGAGAGGTTAAGAAATTTGCCTAAGGTCACGCACAGGAAGAATCTGAACTCAGGCTCAACTAGTATACTATACCTCTGAGGCCCAGGGCAGGTTTCTTGGGGGGGGGGGAGGGGGTGTCATGACACTACACAATCCCAGTCTTGTACCTCCCTCTCAGCTCTCCCAAATGGGCTCTGCCTGGAATGACAGCTGAGATGAGGCCAAAGTCCCTCAGCTCCTCACCCTCCTCTTCATAAGAGGAAATGCCCTTCTGCCCCAGTGGGCGGGCAAACCTGAACCCGAGACACCTACCTGACAGTCATGGACACACCTCTCCTCACAACCGGATGGGTCTCAAACAGGTACACAAATACACTTGAATACAGACTCCAGCCCCCACCACCAGATCTAGCCCAGCTCACTGGCACACACCCCTAGCCTTCACACCCAGACAAGTAAATGTACCCCTTGAGCACACAATTATCTGGAGGACACATGTCCACCCCCAACACACACATCACTGCACAACTTTCCTCCTCCCAATGAGCAGGTAAGCAAGCACTTGTATGCTTAACACATAAAAACGGTACTCACACTCACAAACACAGCAGTTACATCTATCCCAATTCACATGGCAGTTGTGTGCTATCATTCGAGGCACACGAACCTCTTCTTGTACCCAGACCAAGGCACCTGGGCACAAGAGCCGTTGCCGCAAGTCACTGCCTACATTCTCAAGGGCCAGACCCCTCAGATGGCTGCCCAAGGATGCAACATCTCACAAATAATGGGCCACACACGGGTAACATAGATTGCTCCAGCTTGTCCCTGCCCCACCCCCAGAACACAGAGCCCTAATTCCTGGGGACCACACCCCACACCCCTGCATTTGCCATTTGAAAGAACAGTCTCGCGCACCCCTAGAGAACTCTTGACCCCAGCGGTCAGCGCACAGCACGCAGCGTCCGCCAGTGGACTTGCCCCACCTCGCTCTCCTAGTCTCCGCCCACTTCGCAAACTCTGGGAGGGCCTGGGCACCTGTTAGGCCTGTGCAGAACCGGCTGCCCCCTCCCACGCGTCTCGCCCGCCAACAAGCCGAGCCCCCAGCTTGCAGCAAGGAGAACGCGCTCTAATCTGGGGGTGGGGAAGGTCCACCATACAGGCGCTAAAAACTCAAGTCACTCAAGGATGACTCCTTTCCAGTCCTCATCTCCCTTCTGGGGGGGGGGGGAAGGCCCGTCTCTATATTAACCCTTCCATCACCGCCGCACCACGGGAAGGAGCTGCCCAGCAGTGGCCACCGCAGCCCGGGGGAAGGGGGAGGGATCTGCCTGCCATCGTTGTGGGGGCTTGGACCCGTCACGAGACAACCCCACACTCTCCATGCATCCACCCCCGCTCCCACCCAGGAGCCCAGGGGACCCGGTGGGAGAGATCTCAGGGGGCAAGGGCTCAGGAGGGGGCACATGGAATATCCCTGGCTTCTCAGGACCAAAGCGCCAGCGGACAAGGACAACCCCCCAGAAAGTCCTCCGCAGGATCAGACGGGCACATGCAAGGGGCAGAGAGGTTGGAGAGAAAAACGCCCGGAGGCTCCCTTACCTGACTTCCTCTTGGAACTGCCATAATCTCTGAAAAAGAAGCAACAACAGACAGACATGGTTAGATTTCGGCGGGTTAGATCTTTAGGGCTGCGGGTCTCAGGCTGCCGGGGCACCCACGAGCGGGCTGCGGTCGGTCCCGGCGCCTCTGCTCATGTGATGCCCGCGGCTCAGCAAGCCGAGCGCTCCGCAGCTGCACGCACTGCGCGCGGCGCTGCCCGCGGGTGGCCCCGCCAGCCCGGCCTCCGGGAGCGATCGCCCCGCCCCGCAGCCTGCACCCCTGACCGCCACGCCCCAGCCCGGCCCGCCAACGAGGGTTCACCTTCCCCATCCTCGGAGGACCAGGGAGTGCAAGCCGCTGCCCAAGCACTTGGTGAGCAGGGAAACTGAGGCTCCAAGAAGCAGGTTGCTAACACCTAGACCCGGACCTGCGCTGTGATGCGGCTCCCCACCCCGGGAGCGTTCTGCCTCCCAGTTCTTTCCATCACTTGCCCCATCCCACTCAGTCTCCTAGTCACGACTGAAATGTCACCTGCTGGATGCGTTTTCCTCAACACCCCCAGCCCCTTAACAGATTTGTGTGACCTTGTTATTTTTATTTTTCTTCTGGTACTGGGTATTGAACCCAGGGGCAGTCCACTTCTGAGTTACCTCCCTGGCTATTTATTTTTGAGCTATTTATATTTGAGATAGGGTCTCGCTAAATTGCTGAGATTGGCCTTGAACTTGTGATCCTCCTGCCTCAGCCTTCCAGAGTTGCTGGAATTTACAGGGAAGTCCCACCCCCTTGACCCTTAGATTAAAGTGTGCCTTAGGCACACTATGGCTCCTTTCCTCCCCCACCCCCCACCTTCTCCTGGGCCCAGCAAAGGTGAAGGATAAACACTGGCTGTGGGGTCAATGTTGAACTCAGCCTTTCTTCTTAAAGGCTAAGGCTGCGCAATCTGGGCAGTTAGTGGGGTATAACACACTGCAGGGGTAACTGGGAGGCCAGGAGTGGTAGGGATGGGGGTTGAGTTTCTGAAGGAGTACTGGATTGAAAAATCTATCACTGACAATAACTGTTAGATGACCTTAGACTCTTACCCCTCCCAACCTCCACTCCTGGCTTGGAGGCTCCCATGCCCTCCAGGGAGAGATTAACCCAGATTCAGGATCAGGCAGGTTTCCCAAATCCTGCCCCCACACCTTCCCCAATCTTCAAGGGACCCAG